ACCTCTATAGATATGGTTGTACTTATGATAGCCTTCTGTTTTAGACATGATTACAGGAATATAATATAATTGAAAAGCTTATTTCAAGTCAGTGACATTTAGAAATGTTCTGATTCTTCCTCAAGATTGCTTACAAAGGTAAGCACTGCGTGAGGAGAATCTAGGTGGAGATCTGAGTGTTCCATGATCTTAGGAGATCATGGATTTGTAAAGGACTGTTTTCTAAAGGAGGTTCCAGCATTCGGACCAAAGTCTTTACCTGAGGTCTTACAGCCCAAAGTATTGTTTCCTTCATTATTTTTAGGGGGTGATCTCGCATCATTTCCTCCTGTTCTTGTATGTAAGAATTCACGTAAGAATTAAGACGGCTTTTTATTTTCAAAAGAAGGAAGCTTGTTGAAAGCACGATATGGACCTCCTGTTAGCATAAGAAGGAAATGGAGATGCTGGAACTAACTAGCCATCTGAGTTTTGGTGAGTGGGGGACCGAGGAGTTCAGAGGATCGGATGTCCTCAAGGTAATTGGAGTGAAAGATTTTTACTCCCATGTCTCCTCGATTTGTGTGACTAAGCACGTGAAAATGGGTCCACCAGAAAGACTATTAATTTTGCTCGTGTGCTCTGAAAAAGAATAATTTTTTATGCAGTTAGCCACATTTCAAGTGAAAAGCTTAGGGTGTCAGAAGTTCCTTCTCGCGCAGAAGGTCCGTCTAGGCAGCAATAGAGTTGCTTCCGAGACAACCAGGCAGGAACGAGCGGAAACCGGTTCTGCTTTCTTTTCTACCCCTGTATCTTTTTCCATGTAGAAGTGAACGTGGATCACATGTATTGTGACCTAAATAATGCATAAAAACTTTAATTTTCTCTGTAGCATCCGAAAAGAATAATTCATTCCCATAACGGTGGAGTTTCCATGCCTCAAAGTGCTCTTTTTGATTTATCGATGTCTTAAGAATGCATGTCCTTTGATCTTTGTGCAAGAGACTTTCTCCTATCCTCGCTTTCCCACTAAAGATGGTCAAATGGTATTTCTCGAGACTGTCTATATCTTCAAGAAGTAAAAAAGCTTTTTCCTGTCGTGGAGTGTCTTAGCCATGGTGGTAACATGGTGGGATGCAGAGGGGAAACATAATGTAAGCGTTTCACGTTTGCTGGAAGTGGGTGGTCGACATTGATAACGGGTTGTCACTCTTAAAGACTTGGGGAACAGGCCGTAAATAACAAGAGGGATTCTTGATGTCCTCTTCCATGTCCTATCTCACCTCTTCCACACTCCGTTCTATAAATACATTCACGCATTTCTTCGCCCACTCTAGAGATTCTGTCACTTGTAAGCTATGAATGCTCCCTAACTCGTCAACTGTGAATTATTGCCCTCTTCCCTCTCGAAAGCTAGTGCCTGTTGACGTTATACCCTTTTCAAATTTGACGAAAACAAAAGGAATTCAAGAGTATAGCTGCTCTAGCCACGATCGCTAACCGCGACCGATACTTCCCCTCAACCATTGCCTGGCTATTTAAAAGTTTTATCCATCAAATCAAGAGTGTTTCTCTTCAGAGATATACGCTTGTCCAGGCCAAAGCCCCTCGGGATCAGGAAAAAGTGAATCGTTGCAGAAGGAAAGTGGAATAATGAATAGCTTCACACAGTAGACCCGTGTACCCACTCAATGAAAAAGGACCTTCTGAGGATCTCTTATCTTACACCTCTATACCTTATACCTTTCTATCGAACCGCGTGAAGTGTCGAAAATTGAAGTTACCTGATCTACCTGTTCACCGATGACAATGAACCATGGATCAAGACGGGAGAGCAAAGGTTGTTAGACTCCGACATTTGCGCTCTCGCGATATCAAACTGTCATATGCGATTGAAAACTGCTTCGGAAATCATGCTCTTTCTGAGCCCGTTTCCATTTTTTAATCCAACGACCGAGATCAAGAGAAGGCAACGAACAGTGTCTTTTCGTATATAACAGGCATTCGATGATTGATATATAGAGGAAGGGTGAGGACGTTGGGCATGTTGCTAACGAGGGCTGACGGGAGATGGATAAAGAACTGGGAAGGAAAGGGAAAAGTTAATGCAATGGAGCGCAGGTGAATCCTGTCATGGATGTTGATACCATCAGCGTTTCCTCACATCCATGATTCCTTCCACCTGCTATTTTTCCGCCTTCCCCTCTTGATCTTCTTCAGTCTTCACCGACGCAAATAAGTCATCTCGCTGCTACTCTCTTTTTGCTCTTGCTTTTTCTTTTACTGCCTCCCACCGAGCAAACCGGTCATTCTAATTAAATTATTCTTCTCACGGCGGGAATTCCTAAATGTAGCATTTAGAGTGCTCAAAGACGATAGGCCGAAGCAGATGGCAATAGGAAAGAAAAGGGGGCGATATTGAACGAAAAGCAAAACCAGGACGTGATAGCCGAGTTAATGCTGATTGACTCGTGAGATACCCCCTCTCCTGCCAGAAGAGGGAATAGCCATTATAACCGAGAGAGGGTGAGGTTTAAAGGAAATAAACACTGGTTGCTGCTGTAGCCATCAGCAGGATTTGGTATAAGGGATAGGTTTAGATCAAGGGTCTGAAGATATTTCTATCTCAGAAGCTTCAGTAGCTTGGAAAACTGGCGTTCGGAAGGGAGTTAGAAATGATTGGAGGAAGGGTGCAGCTCAGAAACTTCGGAATGAGTTCACACATCTATATAAGGATGCTGGCGCTAACGGTACTTCGACCAAAGGGACAGTTACGAAATACCAGTACACATTATATGAAATACTGGAGGAAACAATATTTGCTCTGGTGTCGGTAGTCCCATAGGAAACAATGGTTAATGGTTTGCATTGTAAGGGCATGTGACCTCATCCCGAAATCGCTGTAGAATAATTTATTGAACCCACGCTTTAGAACTATCAGTGAAGAGTCGCTCTCGAATTTCAATTATCAGTATAGGTTGGAAAATCCAGCAAAATCACCGGCATCTGACTACTTTTGCGTTTCGACAACTCTAAGGAGGTAGAAGACCACAACTTCCAGATTTCTACTGCTTGGAAAGCCTATGTCGTTTTGAATTATAAGCCAACCCTATTTAGTCATTTATATACATTTCAAGTTTTTATAAATTCATAGCTTTGTGCCAAAAATTGTCTTTGGACAATTTTTGGGTCATTTTAAAATTAATATATTTACAAACTTATGGTTACATAAGTCCGACCCTTACTTATCAGATTCACTTTTGAATGAGAAATGAAGCGAGGAGCGATGAGGTACACGAGATACATGAAGACCCCTAATTCTATTTTCTGCCCCTAATTTGCATCTTGTCGATGTTACTCAAGGGTTCGCTTTCGATTTTGGCCGAAATCTGCGAGTCGATGAGGTTCATGTTTTATTAGATTTTGTTATCCCTGTAACTAGTTCGTTATAGTGAAAATAGGCTTTTAAAAAAGAAAATTCTTTCTTTTTTTTGGGAGGGGGGAAGTCCCATAGATTAACTTTGCCTAAGTAATTTATTGTGCTTTTGTGAAATGGCTAAAGAGGGCGGAGAAGGAGAGCAATGGAAAAGACGAAAGTGGATGAGAGTAAAAAATATTTAAAAAGAGGGAAGCCCTTCATAAAGAAAGGGAAAAGGGTTCTTTCCGCTGGAGAGGAAGATGAAGGAAGGACCACCCACCGATGTGAATTTCTCCAATAAATTTCAGGAAGAACTCCATCTCGAAACATAAGACATGATGTCAGCGCTTACATTAGATTGTCATCCCTCTCTGCTGAGCCGCCAACAACTCATATCAACGGATCTCAAATGAGCGCCCCCTCCTTTTTTTTTCATAGTTCAGATTTTCGCGGAAAGGGAGCCGATGAGGAGGCCTTGGACTGAATGGACATAGAGAGAAAGCGGGATAGAGAGAGCTTCCCCCGTTGCCTCTACTCAGGGGTAATTGTGACTAGATTTATCGTCCTTGTAATGTCCGTTATTATCCTCTAGATGTGATGTAAGAAAAAAAGGCGGATGCTCGCCTAGGAGCCTAGATGCCTACTGTGCAACAACGAAGATGATTTCTCAAACGCTTCGCTGTTTTAGCGAAAAATAAAAATTAAATAAACATATAGACGTGTATGTTGGAACATGATCACACAGACATTGGCGATTGCCTAATGGTAATATTGCCGATGAAGTCAGGTGGAAGGACCCCGAGACTTCGTTCAACTTAGAGTTTCTGTAACCAAATGGAATCGCCGACCGATTTTTCTTTATGTTCTCGTCCATGGAATGGGTCGTGTGTTCCGGATTAAGGAAGAAGGAAAGAGAGGATGATGGACGTTCCGCGCCTTGGCGTAGAGGGAGAATCATTCACGATCACATGCCTTCCATATAACTTGGACTCGCATTTATAAGCCTCTTTTCTGTTTCCCTTTCGTGGCTCACGATATCCCATATTTTACAGCCTCACCGTGACTATTAGGAACCGAGAAGGGACCCGACGAACCCTGCAATGGTCATCAATTTCATGTATAGCCATCTTCTTCGAGCTCTATGAATATATCGCACATCACGAGGAATCGGTTTATTTTTTGTTCATCCCGAAGAAATGGATGTCATAGACACCAGAGGAGCAACGAGGGTACAATTCAATAATAAAAAAGATCAAGCAGGAGAGGGAAGAGAGTTAGGATTTTCCTCTGACTTCATTCAGAGAGATGGAGAGGGGAATTCCATGAGACATTTCTACTTCCCTCATCTTATATAGTTAGACTTCGGGGCATGACTCTGAAAGAGTCTCTCCGGATCAGATCGCTTCAGCACCTCACAAACATGAACAAAAATGTCCGAATCCCTGAAACCCTCGAAAGCTACTTCAGGTCTGGTTCCATCCCGTCTTTATAATTCGAATCTCAAGCCAACTTCGGCAGTCCTGCATTTGGTCATCTCAACCATCCACGAAATGTGTCTTATATGTCGGGGTGGAAGGAATGAGAGGTTGTCACCCGGAAATCGATGGTTCCCACGCAATGCCCCCGGGGCATCATCATCATCAATGTGAGGAATTGCGAGGGAGGGTCCCAAGTCCGCATGACGATCCACCCGCGCCTCGTGCTTTATCATCGTCTGAATTGTCTCTAATTGCCAAGACCGTCAACTCTTCCGTCATCGCTCGTAAATCACAGGATTATAAATTGCCTTTTTATCACAGGTGCGAGAGGACGGAGGGGAAAGAAGGGGAAGTCCGGAGATCCTGGTCCACCGGTGAGTTCAAATTTTCACATTTATGAGGATTCCGTGTGAAAGTACTGCAATGTACGAAGAGGTAAATCCCTATGATCGTAGAGCAAGCCATAGATTGATGAGCAATTCGTAGACAAATTGGGAGGTGTGGCTGGATGACGGATTGCATGCTTGACAAAAGGAGGAGGCATTTATTATTCTTCCCCCCCCCCCCTCACACACCTCTGGTGTTAAGAATGATAAATAATTAATTATGCAGTCTCTCACCTTGCGGGGGAGGCGGAAACAATGGTTTTATAAACATTGCACTTTCTATGTATACGTTGCTGTAAGAAATCGACTTGGTAAACTCATCTCCCGATCGTAGAGTGACGTCGCCCCGTGTGAATGGTCCCAGAGGGAAAATCTTCCTTATCTCCTCTTTCCAATCCCTGGCTTTATTCCCCCAGCTTTTTCCTTCTTTCCTTCCCTCTCTTTCACGCTTCAGCTCCGTTCCTCCGTGACTTTGTAGACTCACAAAATAGGCCTGCTGATAGACGATGTGCATATTCTTTTCAGGGACCGCCTGGACCACCCGGGAACAGCGGATTTCCGGTAAGAATTTCCTACGAACCATCAGTAATAGCCCGTGAGCATCCAAAAACTCTTGCATGATTGAAGTTCTTCTGCCTTGGCGGTTTTAAATTCACTATCTGTAACTTCAATGGATCCTCTTACACAAAAAAGTACTTGGTTAATGTGTTCTCTTTCCATATACAGGGTGAGAAAGGCATTCGCGGCTTCCCGGGTTTCCCGGTTTGTTCCTTTGAGTTTCTTTTGATTAATTCCTCTCTCAAATGACATTACTAAAAATAATTGATGAGTCGGTGGTGGGTCCCTTCATCCTCTTGCTCAAGGCGTGGCACATTGCAAAGTGAGGTCAGAGAGCATGGATTATGTAGACAGAAGGAGATGGCAGCTCTGACCCGATTGAATCGAATGGAAGTGAAGGATTGGGAAGGCAGAACTGCCGGGTGGAGTGGGAATAGGAGCCTGCATTTGGGTTGAGCTCGGCGGAAAGGAAGGCTAGGGAGAGCTTCTGGGCGGAGTATTGCAGGCTCTAGGGAAAGAGCAGCTTTAGCTGTGGGTTCCGCGAATTGAAAGGGAAGGCTAGGCAGTGCTGCTGATCGTCGGGGTAGCACTTTTGTCGTGTTTCCAAGTGAGCTGAACTGCCAGCATGACATCATCACGATCTGCTTCCCCATCTCCACGAGTTAGTGAAGCAGACGCATAGGAATTTTTGTGTAGGCTCTGCTACCTTATTGACGAACGTGAACTCGCTGATGCAGTCTCGATGGTGAACCGAATCTTTGGATTGGCAAGGGTACTACTGAACGGACAGTGGTCCAGCTAATGAGATCTGACACGGAGACACTATTTCTGAAATATGGATAGTGCTAACTGCATACTGTTGTTGGGAACTATTTCTGCGGGGAAAACTTCCTTTAGTGAAAATGGGGATTAAGACTTGCAGCACGCATGAAATCGTCACAGAATCATTATAAGGAACTCCTGGTCATTTACTCTATCAACCCGTGATGATGACAATGTAGAAGCGAAATCAACAATGGGTGAACCTGCCACAAGTATAAGTCCCAAGTTTTGTCATGTACCATCAGAAAATTTGGCAGTCTGCATGGGAGTTTCATGACTGTTGATGTATCATTCAGCTGGCAATTATAGCAGTTTCTCAGATAGTCCGCACCTTCTGAGTCTGTGTTTAACCACCAGCAGTAGCCATGGAATCACTGTTTGGCGCCGACACACATTGATCACCTTCATGAGTCATTTGGCTGAAGCGTGATTTTAAGTCGGACGGAACAAATCCTTTGAAGACATTCTATGGAAAGAATGTGAAGCGTCAGGAACGTCCTATGCCATTTCAGACCAGTCATATTCCAGATAGGTTGGACCTTCTTACAGAACTTCAGATCTGAAGCAGACGACTCCTGTAGTTCATCTTCAATAACAGCTTTAATTCCCATGTTCAGAAGTGCTACTACCTTGGCTTGAGCCGACACCTCCTGAATGGCAAGCAGTAAACGATGCAATTTCTGTTATTCAGGTTTCACATGGTCCCGAATCTTCATTTACAGCATGAATCCTCGATTGTATCCAAACCTCTAATTTAAAGTACCTCCAGAAAAAGCAAGTGAAGGCATGTCATCTTCCTCGACTTCCCTTGGGACCTCTAGATCCTCCCATACTTGAAATATTCAAATGTTAAGAATATATGAAATTCAGTCCCGTGATCAGTGGACCTTAGTTGACAGCATATCGCACAGCTGATGCAGGTTTCTTTCATTTCTAACAATTACAGGTAGGTATTCGGGAATATGACTCACTGAACTGGTGTTTTCTGTCTCACCAAATAAAAGCACTGTCCAGGATGGATAAAGGCAGGTAAACCCGTGTCGACTACGGACTTGAAAGGGATAAGGCCTGAAAAGCACTTAGCGAAACAATTCTCGCAGTGGAATTTATTCTCAATCGAGGGACTCCGGTGCCAGGATTGAAGTAGCCCTATCGGGCACAGAAACACGCTGGATTCGCTGACGAGATTAGCAGACGTGGGGAAAATAACTCAGTTCGGCGCACGCCCTGCTCTTGAATCGCATGGCGGGCGAGAAGTTGAGTTTACCTGTTAACCAACGAGCGGTAATTTTGGAACTTCATGTTCTATGTCCATTGCCTTCCCGGGTAAGGATGGGTTTTTTCAAGGCTTCTGCATAAAAGTAATAGTATAGGCTGTGCAATTTCAGCATACCAAAGAAAAAAATAAACTAGAAACCCAAAACCCTTTCCTACAAAGTAGGGAAAGAATCATGTGGAATGAAGTCCCCAAAAAGTCAAAGGAATGAGGAGGGGCCGACCAAGATTAATTTAGGCTATAGGACAAGGCCAAGCATGCCAGGGTTAGGTTGAGGCAGATCTGACAGTCATTGGGTCAGGTTCAAATAAAGGTGAAGTTCGTTGAGCTGGAGGTCAAGGTAATGAGGAGAATGTCAGATAGGTATATATCAAGTACGACTATGTACCTTGAGTATGTGCACGTTCACCTCCTTCAAAGGTGTTTCTAGTAATTTCCTCCATCATCCGATGGGATAGCGCCTTTTTCTTTTGACTAATGAGTGTATGAGCGTATTTTGACTGAGAATAGATCCAATTATAGTCCTACGATCTGTGAGGTGCAGCGCTTGGTAAGCATATCCCAACCCAAAGTTCAACCTAAGCAGTGAAAAGTTATTCCTGATGCGGCGGTTTTTGTCGAATGGTTTCACTCCTCTCTCAGATTCACAATCCATGAAAGATCGATCGGCGAAAGGAGCAGCCGATAGACTGGGATGCGTTACTGGTATAGGTAATTTATATGTGATTCGAGTCTGAATATTCTTCAAATTTAGCCTCCAAGAAGTATAGGCAGGAAGTGTAACCTGTCATTTGTGGATAAAGATACTGAAAATTCGAGAAAGTAGAAGTAAAAAGGAAAAGAAAATGGAATAGGAAAAGCTGTAAAACAAGAAGATATTCTGTGTTTCTGATGTAAGGATTGCCTAGGTCAAGCTCATGTAAGAAAATAGAAAATGGTGAAGTTATTCTTTCTTCATACTTATTTGGGATGTGCAAGTAATGGGTCTTGAAGAGATTCAAGGGTCACCCCAAAAGTAATGCCTCCGATTTTGTCTACCGCAAACTACTGGTGGCACAAACTCGAAAATGCACATGGAGATTCTTTCAAAATGACCTCTCATTGCTTATGACTGTCGTCATCACACTCTACCGTTTGAATCGCCACCGTGGCGGTGCTTTCTGGGTGGGACTCGTGAAACTTCACGAAGAATGGGAGAACATTTGAAAGTATCTGAATGTGCATTTTTGAACTTGTGCTTCTTTGCAATAGACAAAGTCGGAGGCGTTACTTTTGGGATATCCTTCGTAAAATTGCTGTGAATCCAGCTCGGATACCCATTTAAATTTCTCATTTTCCCTTTGTCGGTCACTGGGAAAATTTACATACAGGTACTTATATATTCTCTTTGGTTGTAAATGTTTGAATAAGAATTGCGTTTTGAGTCCAGAAAAGGACACTGTCCAAATCCATACAGGGTGTCACAGAATTCATGTTATATATTTTTTATATACTTTTTGCTTTATTATTGGTAATAGGTTTATTACGTTGAAAATTCTTGTATTTTCTTTCAGTAGGTAATCTGAACGCTTGCCTGCTGTTTTTCATGTACGAATGCTCTATACCTATACCGTAGCTTTTGCTAAGAAAAAATTAGTCAATGAAATTGTGGCAGGAATTCTGGGATACCCTGTATATATAAAATCCCCCTTTGAGGCCAAAACTGAGAAAACACTTATCACTGAATTCGTTATAATCATAGAAGACTTGAATTCTACGTGTATTCATCCCGTATAATTCGTTTTGTTTATATTTCTTGTTTGAATTTTGGGGTTAAGTTATTTCATGTGATTTCTTTTTATTCCCCATGCAGGGCCCAATAGGATTGGATGGACCCCCTGTGAGTCCATTGTTCATATCTTGTCACTATGCTCATATCTTGGGGTAGTGTTTTTATGATGGGAAAACCTAAACATGTGCATGCATTTGTACTCTTACCAGCCGAAAATATGCAGCAGCACGTACAAAGAACAATCTTTGCACGATACTTCACACAAGTTTGCTTTGCATTCCCATCATTAGGGCACCTTCGGAATCGAATTCATGTTCATGCTTTGGGGGTGTTAGCTTGTGACGATAATGCCTGTCAAAACTCCTATATATATATTGAGGGGTTTATTTTGCCACCAAATGCCACCTTGCAGAATGCCACCAAGGCCAACGCCAGTCCGAGTGACTTCCTGCCGCCAAAAGAAGTTGTGCAGTCTAAGCCTAAACTAAGTTTATTGAGTTTCCTAATTTTTTAGACTCAAATTGGAACATGGAACGTATAAAAAAAGTTGCTCTTTCCACAAATTATGTGGGAAATATGCTTGCTTTACACAAATACACCTCAGGATGCGTAAAAATTTGATAATAAAACTTAGTATATGGCTTTAGGGAGCTCCTTTACACGGACTAAGAGGCTCCCAAGCAATCAAGCACTAAGAATATGGAAAGAATAAAAATCCTGCCCCTCTCCCTTATTTCTCCCTGTCAGTCATCCTGCATGCCTCTTATATTTAGACCTCAGCAGTTTCCTTCATCTGACTTAACAACCGAAGGAATAACACCCTCCTCTGTCTCGTTCCTTCTTTGCAACCGCAAGAAACATCACCCCAATTGAATCTGATGATTCGTTTCTTTGATATTGACTGCAGGGACCACCAGGACCAAAGGGAGAACCCGGGCTCTCTGCCTATGATATCATTTCAAATGCCAAAGTAAGTCACTTCTTGAGCATGCTATAAATATATTTTTCACGAAAGGTTTATGAAAGTGGGATTAAAATTCAGATCCAATGTCTTCAAGATGGATTATCACTCCCCTGTCGAATTTGCTGTCGAGATCGACATTCCCCCCCCTCCCAAAAAAAAAACCTTTTGGGACTCGATGAAAACAAACCCCTCACAAATGGTTTACCACCTCAAGGGAACCATGAAACAAAGTTATGGTGAAGATAGTTGTGGTGAGGAAATTTTGATCTGATGGATGTCATTTTTATCGCAATGGCCTTGGTGTAGGGTGTGAAACGATCCTTGACTCGATTACGCAGTGGATCCCTGGGCTATGCTGCCGAGCTCATTGCCATTAAGGTGAGAATTTGCAAGAGACGAAAAAAATTGATTTGGCCCTGGGACCATACCACTCACACCATCCTCTATCTTTTTGACGTTTTCTTTCTCGGTTCTACCTCCTCTGCTTTTAGGTTTGTTTTGGAGTGTCTGTGCAGTTGTGTCGTCTGTATTCTGAACGTGTCAGATCCTGACATTTCTAAATTCTTCACGTATTTTTTTCTTGTCGCCAGAGACGTTTCATTGTATGTGTATCCCTCTATTGAGTTTTCTACCTTTTGTTTTCCTTCCTTCCTAATTTCCTTCCTTCATAGGGATTGGGAAGCCTGAAACACAAGTTTAACCTTGATCCCGACAGTGTTCTCTTACTCCCTGTGAGTTCTGCTTTTGAAGTCTTCCAATGAGTTTCCTGCTTCGTGTCTTCACACGCCTGCCTTCTGGTGCATGCTTTGCCTGCATATTAGCTATTTGTAGTTCTCTCCACATGACTGTATTTTTCATACCGATCAGTATGATAGTATATACAATTTTCCGATACTTTAACTTGTATGTCAACTTGACGATCAAATTTAAAGGTAATTCTGTTGGATATTGTCGAATTCTTTTGCTATTTTTCATGGTCATTGATAATTTCCTCACTTCTTGGATGTTTAGCAAGTTGCAACCATTAAGGAAGCAAATATGGAAATCGCTTTGCTCTGAGTACCGAATATGCTTCTAGTGGGATTTGCATTCCCCAGGGTGAGAAAGGTGATAGGGGTGACTCAGGTCCCTCTGGTCCACCCGGAGCACCAGGTAGACCGGGACTGGATGGAATTCCTGGCCCACCCGGGGAAGTTGGACCGCCTGGTCTGACTGGGGAGCCAGGAATGCCTGGCCCTGTTGGTGAACCTGGATCTACAGGCCTTTCTGTGAGTCTCCCGAATCTCTCATGCATGACCTGAATTGATGAATAGTATTCCAAAACCAAGACTCCGAGGTCCGCCAGGGATACATAGAAAGACTTGAGGTGTTAATGCAGTCGAGCCGTTCGTTTCCTATCAGTTTATTCATTCCCATATTTTGCCATTGATGAAAAGGAAAGATTTTCTGGAAATGCCGTACTATCCATGTCCCGATACGCTAATTCTGCGCTGATTTCTTGTGGGTGATTCTGGTAGCGAAGGGTGGCAAGTCAAGAAATGGACCTAACATTGCACAGATTGGTTGCGGTTGAGAATTTTCTCCTCGTGAGAGAAGTGGTTCCCCATAAGCCCCACCTAAGCCTATTCCTTCCCTCTTGCACCTCCGTATTGGACGAAACCATTTTCCTTCGAAGGTAACAATCTCTTCCGCTTAAAATGTCTCAGATTCATTGCAGCTGAGGAAGAGACGGGTTTGCCCATTCCGGAAGTGACACAGAAAATCCCCTTGTTTCACACGCAATCCTGGGTCTACTGAAGAAGCAATTGGATCGGATTATAAATTTACCGCACATTCTCATATTTTGCGGGGATTGATATCAAAAGAAGTCAGAAAATGAAATGAGATCTTGGATATTGGAACGGAATTTTTCTTATGAAACAAAAGAAAAATTAACTCTTGGAATGGAACAGAAACCTGAACGCAGCAACCACGAGGAACGGGACGGAATGTGGAATTGAAAAAAGTCCATTCCGTAGCCCTAGCGATCGCACCAAATCATTTCGTCATGCTGCTGGGCTGTGAACCTCGGCATCATACCTGCAGTTTGGTAAATGCATGACAGGAGAAACTGGGGCACGGTAAACAATTCTTCGAAATCAAACTAAATAATTAGTTCTTTAATCAAATTTGGCTCTCCTATTGGTACAGTGAAACCTGTGGATTCGGCCACCTTGATATTACGGCCACCTCCTATTTGCGGTCAGAAATGCTCAGTCCCAATCGTTAGCTCCATAGGTTCAATGTTAAAATAACCTGTTTTATCCGGCCACCTGTATAACGCGGCCAGCGGCCAAGGATTTGTAGACCCTTTGTGCTGGCCACTCCTTAATCCGGCCAGGACACAGGAAGGAAAGAAGATCGCAGCTTCATTACCTTCCTCTTTTTTATTTCCCAGCCTTGCAGCTTCCTTCCTTTCTTCCCTATTTTCCTCCCTTTCGCCTCTTTCCCCTCCCCCTACCCAATCCCCGATTGGATCCGTCGCTTGGTTGTCAAGGTCACACCTCTAGAGTTTCGATAACCAGAGAACTATCATCAAGAGTGTTGACCTGCCGCTACTTCTTCCCTGTTTCTTGCTCCCTTTCTTAAAGGCCATCGAAAAGCTGAAGTGCTTTTTGGTAGGGAAGAGCATGCAAGAGTCAGTCGAAGCAATCACGAAACTCGAAGCGTCTCTCCAGGAGCGAGAGTGCGAACGCAAAATGCGTGTGCGTCAAACGAACATTTGAGACTTCCTCACACTGAAATAATGGTCTTCATATTTTTCTCGGTGTACATAGTTTAATTAAAGCCTCACAAAATCAAAAGTAGGGGGAGGTGGGGCAAAACGTTGCAGTTCAGGAAAATCGCCAAAATTTAGTACCAAGAAGTTGGCGTAGCACGTTGCGGATTGGTTTGCGGTATCTTTCATGACTTACCTACGAATAGGATTCAACTTCATCGCGAAATCAGCGACGGTTTTTCCCCCCCAACAATTCTAAAAGTTGTTGTAAAACACCCCGTTTTGCCCCACCCATGGGGCAAAATGGGGTGCTCCTCCAGATAGTGTTTTACAATGTTTTTATTTATAATACATACCTATTTAAATAGGTCACAGAACAGAAACATCAATGAAATATCTACAAATAGAAAACTAATTATTATTCACATGTTTTCTCTTGTCTTCGTTTTATGCTATTTACAAAGTTCACAGAACAGGGACCACAACAAAACATCCACAAATTACAAGCAGATGCTTTCTCTCGTTTCCCCAGGTCTTCACTCTTACTTACAAAGGTCAAAGAACAGAAAGAGCAATGAAACATCTTCAATTAAACCTTGTTTTTTCCCTAATATTTTCCCATATTTTCATTACATGCCTAATAACTAAGGCAACAGAACGGAAGCAACAATGAAACTTTTAAAGCAAGCAATCGTTGCTATTTCAAATTGTTATCCATGTATTCATCATAGATGCAAATTTACAGATGTCGCAGAAAAACACGTCCATATCTGTGTCGTGTTTGATGCCTGCATTGCTGTCATGGACTTAATTCCGGTGATCCAACCTTCACTGGGTTTTGAGCGAGAGAAAGAATCTGAACAATAGCACAACGCGTCGGCCTGATCCTCACCATTGTAATGGATATTCCAGCCGGACTAGAATAGATATTTAGAGCCGCTTAACCGCCCCATTTTGCCCCCTCACCGTCACCCCGTTTTGCCCCATCAGCACCGTCTATAATAAAGACACTGCCAAACAAAAGGTGAGTGAGCTATGCGAAAAATGATAACTTCTTGCAATAGTTCACATTTTCACCTTCAGCGAACAAAAAAATATCGGACTTCTCCAATGTTCCCATGTTACTTTATTTCGCTCATGAAAAACTCGAAGCAAAATAAGAAAAGTCGATGTTTTCTCATTTCTCTCCGTGTGTGTTTAAAAACTACTTTAGAGAGCGCCGCCGTGCCTGAAAATTTGCGCCGCGGTTATAATAAGGTAAATAGCCGATAGATATTGGGTATGGTTTGGTTAAAATCCGCGTTGCCCCGTTTTGTCCCTCGCCCCATTTTGCTCCACCTTCCCCTACAGTACCTTTGTAGCATACAGTGTGTTTTGTTTTCCTGAAAAACTGATTGGTAAAGTACCTCACAGTTTGCATAGAGGAAAAAGCGGGGGGATTCCCCTCTTTAACTGTCAACTGTCAGAACCGGCCAAATTTAGAAAGTTCTCCTTGTGGCCGTATTACACGGTTTCACTGTATTCTTAATGCCATAAGAATTTGAATGTACGGTGACATTCACAGAAAGTATAAAGAATAGCCCATCTTGAAGGGGGGGAGGGGAGGGGTAGGATTTGTGGGTTCCATTCCTAACATTAAAGTGCTAAGGCAACAAAAAAGTCGATGTCCCACCTCTCCTTTCACACCCATTCTTCAATATTTGCCAGGGCATATTCAATCGGAGGCTCATCCACCGCCTCCCCATCATCTATCGCCTGTCGCAGGCATGATATTATAACCTTATACACTCATCGAGCTCTCTGTTAGCTGTCAACTGCATCCGAAAGTCCTTTGCACCCTTATGACCAAACGTTTTAGGGTGGTTTCTCCATGAAAGTCTTGTGCATTGTCCCGGAAGTGGGCCGTCCTGATAATCCGTGCTGCATGTTGAAGATTCCTTGTAAAGTTGTTTGACTATGCAGCCGGGATGGAAGCTAATTCCGCTGATGATGTTCCTGTGGTACATTTTATACAATGTGCAGACGCTTGAGATTTCGTTCTCATAGCAGTTTTTTAATATTGTATAAACATTCACTGGCATTAATTGCATGAATACGAGACGATTGATTCAGTCAAAAAGGAACGTATTGAAAATGCAGGGGGAGAAAGGTCAGAAGGGAGAACGAGGTCTCACGACGACGATCGATGGGGACAGTTTCCCGACAGGATTCCTGGAGGGGCCACCAGGTCCCCCCGGTCCCCCAGGACCGCAAGGCCCACCTGGCCCCAAGGGCCAGCTTGGTGAACTGGGACCCCCTGGCAAGGATGGTGTCACTGGCGAACCCGGTCGACGAGGAAGACGAGGGAAAAGGGTGAGTCTTCCTCTCTGTTCTATCCGGATATATGTACGCTTACACTACTAACCAAAACTTTGGAAAATGCTCCAATATTCACGATATTTTTTTACTTCCTTCTTAATTGCATGTCTAGCTCTGTAATTTCACAAGGTTATTCATCAGGAATGAGTACCGACGATAGTATTGAATACAGCTTCACACTCTCATCCCGATTGGAGTGGTTGTATTAAAAACATCCGCTTATCACTACGTCCTAGATATAAATTTTAGAATCAGGCAAGTAAGGCTTTCGACTAATTCACTGCATCTTATTGTGTGACATTGAGTTCTTTTGCTCAATGCCACACAATAGCTTCTCCAGAATCCATGCATGGAGATGACACGAAGCCAGCTGCAGATGTAGATGTAGGATTTGCTGAGCGGATAGTCCGCTCGCATGAGTTGCTATGATTATACGGTATCTGTCATCTACAAAAGAATATTTTCAAGCATTGATGGAAAGCATTCGTCATTCCGCTAGGACACTGTTTCATGCGAAGCTGCTTCATCTTCTATTAGGTGATTTTGGAAGTGCTCATCAGGCAGGGAACATCTGTGATTCCCAATTCCATTGAAAACTCTTCTCCCAGAGCGTTCACGTTTTCGTGTCAAATCAATACCGCGAGCCAATGGGAAAGCTGGTCAATTGAATGCAATTGGTTTAGCTTGTCATTGCAGCTGATATCTTGCATCTTGGAAAAAGAAGCTATATATCCTGGCTCCTAGGACCTTACAGGTGTGTAACGTTGATCCAACAAACGGAGATGATTATAGAAATTCATATCCGGCATTTGGGTTCAGTCCAGAGAGAGAAGCTGGTGACCTATCGCTGCATTCCAGACATAATGCATGTACCGAAATGCTTTCAATTATGATGTGAATTCCCATTCCAGATTAATAACCTCATGAAACTTGGAGCCAGAGTTTGACATGCGAAAGAAAACCTAGAGATGTGTTATAGTGTCCACTTTTTTTTGCTATTGTAACGGAGGAAACCTTTTGGTACAAAACCGAGTAAAAATCGTGAGGAAGCACATTCTTAAAAGCAAAGACTGGACTTGGGACAAGAATCTCCTGTGATAACATGAGGCATTCGAAGGCATAACTGTGCCACACCCTATGTGAGAAATTGCTCTCTTGGACTGCACTCTTTCCTTGTGTGTGATGAAACTTTGCGCTATATCATAAATCTATAGCAATTACAATTAAGAAATAAATATGAACATTGCCCTCTCCCCTCGTATTTTTCGAAACCTCTTAAGTTTCATCTGTCCTCAGGGAATCGAGAACAGTAACGTAATTTCTGATGCCTTACACTGCAGCTGACATTTTCTTATGAAGTTCCAACAACCCCATTCTCATTTTCATCATGCTAAGCAAAAGAAATGTCAGCATGGATGATAAGATGGCAGTCATAAATCGGCAGGCCCTTGGAAGGATGAAGACAGTGTAGTTTAAGTTCCCTTCTTTGCATTCAGGAATGCCTCATGATTCACCAAAGACATGTTGTGAATACACATCCAGTTTGCCATTTGAATGACATGGAAATGAGATGTTTCTCTTGTTTTCACGTGCATGTGAAAAGTGCTTAAATGCAGTGAGTTTCAAGAGTTGCTTCTCAGGAAAGGAATGACACTTTATTCTTGGAATAAAGTGTCATTCTTGTTGTCGCAGGCGATCCCAAATCTTCCTTTGCTTTCGGAGACGTGATCCCGAAGATTCTTTTTCCGTTTCCCACCGTAGGGCTTTCGACTTTAGTATTTTTATAGTTAAGCTTAATTAGCTTAAATGTTTTTCAAAATCTTAAAAAATTATGAAGCGTTATATTCAAGTGATTATCATGCTATAAGTCATAGGTCTGACTTGGTTACATTCATCATCTGTCCAGGTAGATAACTGAAACAAAAAGCAAAATGTTTCTTCCTTTTGACATTCTGAGACATACTGAACATGAAAGATGGTCGACATTGGTGACTTGGTATACCGCTTGTGGTATTTCTAAGCGATAGCTTACATTTTTTGGTGCTTCCCGTCGCTGAAACCTATCCCGGTATTCAGATTTTCGCTCGGACAATCGCGCAACAATCGCACTACGAAAGTAGTGGTTTAGATAATCATTTTTGATAAATATATCGGGAGAAAGGAAAACCCTACAAGAAGATCGTGGCTGTCTTTTCTCTGAATGATACTCAATGAACACGGAGCGATTTTCATAAAACATACTTAATGTGATATGAAAAGTTTGAAACATGCTTAAAGCAATATTTCTATTATACCAAATGCAAGCAATACTCAATGGCGAAGTAGTGTAAGTAGCAAAATATCATATACTGCTGCCCGCATGGCAGTATACATATATAGTACTGAATACATATTCATATACTATCATTTACTATATAAGCCCCCTTAAGGGGAGAACTAGTCGAAGGGGAAAAGTATGACGTCTCAGAATATATTCCGGGTGAAATAAAAAAAACATAAAAAAACGCTCTGCTCTTTGAAATTATTCAATGTTTATGAGACACCTGAGAAAAGTTTATTTTTGACTGCTTTTACATACTCTCTGAACGTCCTGAAGTGTTCATCCTTGTACCTCCAGCTGTTTTACCGCACGAACGATTTTACTATAGCAACTGGAAATTCATTCTTCCACTCATCTTGCGACACTGACCTTCGGACCGCCGACTTGCCACGTGACAAGGAGTGACAATACTTTTCAGAGATTCTTTACTCTGCGTTCCAGAATGCATTGAACAGATCTTTGACTCACCCCCATGTTTCTGGCGATTTGCAGCTGGGACTATTGAGTTTTTGGGTTATCGTCTTCTGATGCAATGCCTTCCCCATGAGCAGGTTTCCTTCAGTTTAAGCTAAGTTTGATCTATCGCTCTCTCTCTCTCTACCTCTCAAATGAACTAGATTCTCGCAGCTCGCGAATTAACCTGTGAATCAAGCAGCGATTCATTTCTTCCATCCTCTGCAAGGAAATCCTTGCATTATTCTTGCTTCGCACTATCTAACAGGCTTTAATCACTGCTTCATCTTCCGTGGAGAGCACCTTTTACGCGGACTTACTGAATAGCACCTAGCACTAATAGCACATTTATTGGTGCGAAATGCACGCACCCACAACTTTCCTGTCTGTCCTTTTCCTCCCGCAAAAATAAAATTCCAGTCGCTTTTGTAAAGTCTCACTTGTGGAAAGGCTGGAGAGGAACAAACGAGAAATTTAGGACGTTGAAAGGATGGCGAGAATTAAAAAATACTCGTAATTACTTCATTACTTCTCCCCGTTTTTTCTCACCCACCATTTTACTGCCACATTCCATTTTGGTTCCTATGATGGTCCTGAAATATTCCATTAGTATCGTCACAAACTCTAGGAATACCCTTTATCCTTTGAGGCCCCGTGCTCACCTTTTTGGACGAATTTCCATTAGTTTTCAGGAGTTGCATGAAAATTCTCACAGCTTTCCAGTAAGCCCTAGTAACACATACAGTCTCAGGTTTCTATGCAAATTTAAAAATTAATTTTGAGCTAACGTTTGGCGCTAAACAATTGGCAACAACTGCATGATGTCATTGCAATAGCCAAAAATAGCCTGCTCTGCTCGGTTAGGTTAGATTTCCCTTTTTTTGACAATTGCTGAGATAAATCCTTTATGAATAACATCATCAAAAGACAGACCACGAGGGAATCAGACCTCGAAGTAAAAAAAAAATTTAAGTTTTTTTTATATATTTCAAATTTCTTCTTCGAAGGCTTTATCCTTAAGTCTGAATGAAGTCCTTAGCTTTTAATATTCACAGATATTCTCTAAATAAAAAAATCTAAACTTCACTGGATTGGAGGCAGGGTCTCGAGGATCAAATAAGCCAGCCAAGCATCAACAATGACCAGTGACGCAACCAGAAAGAAAAGGAAGGGGAGGGATATGGAGAGGAATGCGAGGACCCAACCGGGCTGGGGAATGGATCGAGAGGGGGTGCTGAGCGAAGAAGAGGGGGAGGGGGAGAGGGGGAGCTTCACGAGCGAGGAGAGCGCTAGGGGTGTTTATGCCTTATCCTGATCGTTCATAATGATGCCCTCTTTCCGAGGAAGAAAAAAGGAAGAGTGAAACTTCCTTTTTTTTCTTCCTCGAGATGGGGAATATGATCCCCCTCTCACCTCCCCCCCTCCGGTTGCGCCCCTGGCTATGACACTAGTGCTCTTAGTGGATTAGTTTTTAAAATATTATTTTTATGCAATTATTCCAACTTGTTCATCTTACCGAAAGAGCTAATAAATTTTCTTCACAAACTTCTGTCCTATATGCGTGCAATGTCTACGCAACGCATTGGGTTATTGGGTCATGCAGTTATTGGGTTTACTTTTTTTTTATTGCGAGAGGTCTGGGCAGACCACATGAGGCAAAACCATATATTTTCATGAATTTACCTTTTGTTGCATCGCATCCACGTTTGTGGACATTTTCTTTAAATTCATTTTACAACCCCCATTCTACACTGCTTTCAGTAGAGCATCATGTACATATTCTCTGGCATCACAAATATCAGAACAAAATCAGAGGATTTGTCCTGCCACTCTTCAATACCCTCCATGAAAATGACATCATGTAGTGACCAGAGATGGGAGTATCCGTCATTGTTTAATTTAATTTGCTTATAGTGATTTTTGGAATTGTTACAAAAGCATTGGAGTGCACTTATGAGAGAACCCGCTCCTCATCGGCATCGGCTACCATGGCTCTTAAACGTGTTTGTCCACAAACGTGAACGTCATGCATTCAAGTAAATTAATTTACCAGAATGATATTGTCTTGGACATTGCATACGTACATGTCCAGTTAGAGTGTAAAAATCTACTGGTTCCAACACGTTGCAGTGGCCCTGTAAATCTTGCATAACGATTCCTCATCATTCCTTTGAAAAGATATATTTTCAGGTACGAGGTTTTCCTCAGGTTTTGGTGTTTT